TTCAGCTATATTTTCCTCATCTATGTTTTATTGTTCACATTTATCATATCCACCTATGCTAGGAAAAAGTATAGAAAATATTTGCCACATAAAAATCCTGGCTCTGATCTGACCGCTTGGAAGCGGACTAAGGGGAGGAAATCTCAGCAAAGTTCTTCGTGTGGAGTTTTCTACTTAGTTATCCCATCAGGGGCAGGTTTGGTCTCATACTGCAAAACAGGCAGCAGGGCAGTCCCAAAACCCCTGAGATCTGCATTGGCTCCAGATTGGCGAGTGGCCAGAGCCATCTGTGTGGATGCTCTATGTACTCACGGTAGCTAAGCCCATAGCAGCTCCTTTCCCCACCTACCTCCACTCCCGGGCAGTGGGGGTTCAGTGTGGGTGTTGTCATGGGAAGGAGAAATTTGTCCCTTTTGAGATCCTTGGATGAAATGTGCTTGATAAATACAAAGTATCATTCATATCTGTCTTGGACCCAAGTGGGGTGGATCTTCTGTACCCTTCAGGCAAACTTGATAATTCGCCCATGTGGAAGTATAACATTGTATAAGTATAACGTTGTATAAGGGGACATGCTGGATACATTGTATATGAGAGGGCATGCCAAAACATGTTACAAAGTTTCTGAGGGAGCACACGTAGGGACAGTTAGCTTTTGAATGGAGAAGCAATTAAGATAGAGCCAGCACATCTAAGAAGCAGGCATCAGAATGGAAGGTGTGAAGGGCAATTAGTTAAGTTAACTGGAAGCTGTTAAAGGAGATTGTTAAGGGTGGCAGGTAATTGAAGATACGTGACTGGTCTTAGGGATCTCGAAGGGTGGTGACTAAAATCTTTTTCTTCTTTTGTCTGTAACTTCTCTGTAACTTGTTCTCCAAAAAACTGTATAAATTAAAAGACACAAGCCCCACTCGGGGGGCTCACTTCTAAATGTATTAGCAGAGCAGCTTTGCTAATAAAACAGAGTGGTCTGATAAATTGTGAGTCTGAGTCAAACTTTGACACCCATTAACTACTGCTCTCATGTCCTTAGCAGCACTACCTTTGAGGTCTTCCACTGTGGCAGTTAAGGAGAAAATGGAGGGTACTGCTGCCAGCTTGAGGAGAACTATACCGTGACTAGAAACCAAACCAGTCTTCCTCATTGCATTGCAGAGCACTGGCACCTAACTCTGACTATTCGTTTGTCCTCTATGTTTTAATTAGGAAGCAGAAAACTACCTTGGCCTGCACTATGCAAAACCCTCTCAGACCAAAGTGAACTCTAATTCACATTTATGCTTGTTATAGTTGAAGGATCTGGCAATTAAAATGAGCCTTATATTTGTTTGATATGGTAAAGTATAAAAACCATCATGCTGAGGATATCCATGGTTCCTGGGCTAAACATTTACACTTCAAAGGACGTAACAGAAAGGTGGTCTGGTTGTTGTCTTTGCAAATGTAAAACTTCAGCAATTGCAATTAGTTGATTGAAGTTCCATTTCTTTACAGAAAAAAATACATAAAAAGTAGTTCAAAACCAAAGGATGGCTTAAAATATGTCTAATAGAAAAAGTTCTCTCTCTTTATTAAATAATGAAAACACTTGAAAGGGTTTAACCCTAAAATCAACATCAGATGTAAGATAGTTGATTCTGTGCTTATCCCGAGTATGTGTTAACCTCATATGGCTTGGAGACAATATGAATATTCATGTCTTGCAGAAAAAGAGAGGCAATTTCTAAAATTCAGCCCCCAAAATTGATGATGCTCCACCTATTTCCAAACATCCTCCATCATCTATACTCTACCCTCCAGCTTGTTGAAGGAGTGTGTTCGCTAGAGGACTAAAAATCTAAAAAAGAAAATCCAAACAAAAACCAGGGAACCCATGTGTGCCCCAAATGATACTACTCAATCCTACTGCTTTGTGTGACATCCTGTCCTCATTCTGTCTAAGCTGTTCAGGGCAGTGACCTGTCTGTGAAGTGCACATTGACTTTGTACAAATTAATGTTGTACCAATGCTAAAAGTCACTAATCAGAATGGAAAGATGGACAGAGTGCAAGGAGAAATGGAGCTAAGGCAGATATTCCAATCTAACATACACAAGTGTTGGGCAAGGGACAGTCATGAGGTGAAACCTGAGGGTAATTGAGTAAAACTGCAATTTATGAGGCACAGGATCTTCTTGTCAGTTTCTGCCTGCTCAATTTATACCAATATGGAGACAATCTTGTCTAGAAAGATTCACTGTTGGTGAACTCAGACGATGCATGATGGTTCCCAAGGAGACCATTTTGAACTTTTCATTGACCAGTCACTACTCAGGCCCCTGAGATCCAGCATAAGCCTGAGCATGTCTATATTTTTGAATGTCCTGAAGTGTCAGGGATAAAACCCCTTCCCTTCTTTCTCCCTTGTACAAAACTTTGCTGAAAGCGATTGGATTTCCTGCAGCAGCTCTTCCAAAACAGTCCAAGAGCATTCAAGGTTTTCTGAAAACCTTAATTTCTATTTCCGCAGACAATTCTTAGCGCCCATGTATCCAAGATTACTAGAAACTATTGTTGGGTCAGGGGGGTTGGTACCATGCTTCTAGTCTGCTTATGAGAGGCAGATTGTGGCAGGTTACTGAGAGTGGCAGGTTGGCTATCTGCTTTGGAGCCCTTTGGATTCTGTTGGTTATGGAAATGAATCCTAGAGTATTTTGACTGCTGCTGTTGGGGCTAAGCACAGCCACGCAGGGATACAGAACTTCTGTTACGCCAGTTGACGTGAAAGCCTGCTTTTTAAGTAGAAGTAAGCTCTTGCTACTTGTGCTTAGCAAGAAACTGGGCTTGGGCAGCCACAGTCAGCAACATGAAGGATTTCATTTGCGAACTCGCAGAGACATCGGATGCTCCTGGTTGTGGGACACAGTACACCATAATTTCAGCCAGTCTTCACTCTGATCACTGCTGTCTTAGCAGTCCAAACTTCTGTGCATGGAAGACAAAGTCAGCAGCCTCGTTGGGGAGAGTGAATTCTTGTTCAGTTTCCTCCCACACCAAGCCCAATACACACTCTTCTGCCTCCCCTGTTGCTGAGACATCCTGCCTTCTCTCCTCCAACCCTCTCCCTGCCCAAGGGACCCCAATCCCTCACTTTCTAACATCCTCTCCTCACTCTCTTCCCCCCTCTCGCTTTTCTTCTCAACCTCTCACTCTCCTCAGGTTCTTCTCCCACCCGTTAACCAAAACTTGACACTCCCCATCCCGTTCAACCTACCATCCAATCTCTCTTCTTTTAATCTCCAAACTCACTGAACATTCCATCTACAATGGCTCTCTGGAGTTCCTTTCCTCCAGAGGCGATGCATGGGGGTGTGTGGGAGGGACATACGGGGTCATGTGCCCTCTCCAGATTTCTTGGGACACCTCTTGCTGGGATGCCCAACAGCAAGGAGACAGTGATTACCCCTGGTGATGGCACTCACTGAGTGTCCATGCAATGTGGGCAGGAAGCAGCAGGGCAACTGGCTGAGTCCCCCCATCCCCTACTACATGGAGCTATTTCTCCTTCCCTGCTACTGGAGTCCCAGTGACTCCCACTACCTGTTTTGCAGACCACTCACTGAGACGAGTCAGGGGGTGGAGGCAGAGGAAATGCGTGGGAAGGTCACATGCCCCCCTCTATCCAGTTACATGTTGCCTCTGCTTTCCTCCAATTCCATTCCTGACCCTCTCCAATCTGGCTTCTTCTGCCCTCTAATCTCCACTAAAACTACTCACACTGAAGTCTCAATTGGCCTCTTCCTGGCCAAATCTCAGGGCCTGTACTACAGCCTTATCCTCCTGGACCTATCGATGGCTTTTGACATTTATCAACTTCTCCCTACTTTTTGGAATTTTGGCTCCCATTGCTTTTCATGGTTCTATCCTCATAGCAGTGGCTTTCCTTCCTCTCTGATTGCTCTTACCTTGTCTTGTTTCGTGGGTCAACCACCTCCCCTTTCCTCTCTCTGTGGGCATCCCTCAAGGCTCAGTCCTCAGTCACACTCTCCTCTTCTTCTGTTGCTAATCTTTGCTCCATCAGGGTTTCCAGCCTTTATCATCCACCAGACAGTTTCTCCCTTAAACAATCTGTGCTTTCTGCCATGCTGCCCCTTATGAATGGGAAAGGCTCCCTGATAAAATTCAAACAGCCCCTGCCTTATCCTCCTCCAAATCTCTCCATAAGACTCACCTGTGCCATGCTGCCATGGGTAGATAGGTGGCAGGCTTACTCCCTACCTACAAAATTCCTACAATACATGTAACTAACAAAGCTGTGTCAGTTCTATCCTTGTTTTCCTCTGCAGTGGCAATGTAACTGTCATCATAGGATTCCTCTCTCCTCTGGATCCAAGTACTGACCATCACTCACCCTGATCCTCAGCCTGCCCTGAAACAAGTGGGATTCTGTGAAATCTTTGCAATGCAATGTTGTACAGTTAAGCAAGCAAAAATTAGGAAATACAAAGGTAATGAATGGCTGCAACCTTAACTCTGCCACTTTGCATGTATTATGATACATTCTTTAAAGTCAAGGTCATATTGCCTTAGATATTGAAATGTATATGTGCTGAATTAACATTGTGTTTTCAATCTTGTCTTTTGCACTGCCTGACTTGAGCACTTAACTGTTCAGCTTTAACATTACATTAACAGCTTTTTTGCATTTAGTATATGGAGCATCACTGAGTATATTCATATGCCACTTTTATACAAAATATTTGTAAATAAAAAATATTAAAGTCCTGTGTTTTGGTTTATATTGCAAAGTTATGCAGGTTAAATCTACAACTTAGTCACATGAAGAATTCATTCACTACCACTGGATTTACTTCAGTGGTTTTACTAAGAAAAGTGAACAGAAAATTACAATTTTGTAAAGAAGCAGATATATTACTCTGAGGGAGGAAAACATTAGGACTAAGAGTGCTTTCCCCCTCCACCCATCCCACAAGTATTTGACTCCAATAAAAATAATAATGTAAGGTTTAGAATGTTTTATTTTTACATTACATGACAGCCATTAAAACAAGGATTATGAATGTAGGAAACAAGAAGACATGGACCAAACTGGTATCTAGATATTGAGACACAGTCCTCGGCTGTTTTAACTCAAATATAAAGACCTATCACCATTTTCATTCCAACAAGGAAAAGAAAAGCTAAGCTATCTGTAAAAGATTTTGAAAAATCTGAGACTGGCACACTCACTCTACTAAGTCCTGATAGTCTAGTACATCAGTTCTAAAATGTTACCCAAAACATACAGCATTCAGACTTCAGAAGGTCATGTGTTTTAGAAATGCTAATGGAAAAACAGTCCTTCCAACATTCCTCCTACAATCCTGACAGAGCCCAGCTGATTTTTTTTTATTTTTGAGCAATGTTAGTTTACCATTACAAGCAAATAAGATATTGCACACAAACCTAGCTTGCAAAACCCACTCAACTTGGGCCATGTATGTTGTTTTCACAAGGAATTATAAGTAGCTGATGATCATCATTATTATGGTAAAGGATGAACAGGTAGGTTTTGTGCATGGGCTGGTACATTTTCATGACAATTTTGTTAAGTCTGATGTAAATGTTAACATATATGGCATTGTGAAATTAAACAAATGGGAGCTGAAATGTGTTAAGATTGGGACAGAATTACTGTTATGACATAGGTTCTATTAAGTAATTATTTTACTGTGTGTGGCAAAAGCTTCCAGCAAATAAACCAGATTAAAAAAAATAAAAAAAAATAAATGCATACATCCTTACTTCCCATTCACAGGCATTTGTTGCATTTCCATTGTCTGATCTTTTTAGTTGAATGCAAGTAAAGCTCATATTTTCCCTGAAAAGCTAGGAGACTCTGATCATAATTCAGCCATGGCTGCCCTGAACAGCCTATAAACAACAGAAGTAGGAAAGGAATTAGCATGTCAAGATTTCACTTTAGAACACAAAGGTGAAGTGTCATCTGTAAAAATATGCAGAGAAAGAAAGAAGTGGATTTTGAGCAGATATTTATTTATATTAAGTACCGTATTAAACTTCATGGAATTGTCTATGGTCACGACTGTCTGCTATATCAAGGGGAAAGCATTCTTCATCGATTAACGGAACAACTGAATATGAAGAAACACGAATGAATGTGTCAGATAAAACTGTTTTGCTATGATGGTTGAACTTTAGGAGTTTGTTCCCTTTTGAAGACCATTGGAATGCAATATAGTATTGATGCTTAAATCAAGTAGATTTAATCTAAACTGATACTCGTCAAGTCTTTTTTGTAAAACTCATTTAATTTTAGTGTGTGTGTTTGTATTTTAAGCAATCTACTGTTTGGACTACCCTCTCGAAAGCTCAGCCATTGCATTCCTCACTCTCATTGTCTTGTCGTTTTCCATGTGGCAAATATTAACTTCCACACACTGCTGTTTCTTAAGAAGCACAAGTCACTGACACCTGTTTTTTTACATTTCCTTTGTTCATGGTCTACATCAATGGAATGACAGCTCTGGAGTATGGTTTATGGGCTAACCAGCACTCTTTTGGTGGAAGGGTTGCTGTTTTTGTAGCCATAGCTGGGTAGAAATAGCCTAGTCTTGAATTAAAAGTGGCTATTGGTTATTTTTAAAATTTTCAGTGACAGACTGGTGGATTTTTAAAAACACATATTTGGAATTCAGGGGACATTTCTCACCATACTGTAACAGTTTTAAGATAAGGTAAAACTTTGGACTGAAACCATCCTTTCTCATTTTGGAAATATTAGTTTTACAAAGAAATTTTCTACTGGAATGAGCTACAGAAATGAAAATGTTATTTTAAAGTATATTTATGTCATAGGTGTATTTTAATTCTCTTTTCTATAGATATATTACTCATTGATTTAATTCAGTCAAGAATCTACCATATTGTCAATCAACTACAATGATCCAGAAACAGTTTCTGGCTATGGAAAGGGCTTAATTATTAAGCCACATCTTCCTACAAAGCTTCAGTATTTCTGATTGGTAAAAAGCATTTCTCATTGAAATAATACTGAAGTGGAGCACAAGTCCTCTTCCATCAATTTGACTGTTAAGTTAATTAACTCTTCAGGACAAAATGGTGATCATATTTAATCACAAGATAAAGTATCGTTTTTCAAGACAGCTCAATTGGTAGCTCCGGTGATACAGAAGTATATCTTGGGTCAAGCTTAGGTATGAAATTCTTGAAGTTCTTAGATGCTTCAGTACCAAATACATCTAATACTTGTCTATTCATGACAGCAAACCTGAAATAGAAAAGACTCATGACAAAATGAACACTTTTTCCATTTAATAATAAATAAAATTACTTGAAAGTTATTCTACGTTGTAATGATGAAATATTGCCCATATCTTTAAACCTGCACTTCTTATGCAGGTAAAATACCTGTTAAAGTCAATAAGAGTTTAGTCAAGCAGAAGAAGAATTGTAGGATATGATCTTAAGTTTGCAATCAGATCTTTAAAAAACTTTAACTGCATTTGATTCAATGTTTCAACAAGCTGGGTGCTAAAAGCTTTTACAAACAGCAAGTAGGTTTTAAAAACTGTACTGGATGCTAAGGGCGGACACACGAGAGAGGTAATCCTGACTAGTACGTAAAATGGGGACTCAGTTATCATCTTATGTTCTTAGAGAATTGCAAGTTTTTCATTTTGGACACCACGGGTGCCTTTTTATGTTTGAACAATACAAATGCTTATGAAGTGAATCACTTCGCATGTGATTTGTATTTTATTTAATACATTTGACTACTTCTACCAGAAAAAAAAATGCCCTTTTCTTGTCCCCAGGATGAGCAAAAGCACAGTTCTGTCTACATGTCTCCTGAGTTTCCCTTAGTGGTTTCACAACAACATTTTCTTATTTTTTAAGATGTTTTCCCTCCCCTGTTACCGTGAAAGACTCACACAAGCAATAGGAGAAAATGACTGCCTACTCAGCAAAAGAGTCAAACTGATTATACACAAAGCAGGAGGTTGGACTAGATGACCTCCTGAGGTACCTTCCAACTCTGATATTCTATGATTCTATGAAAGTGGTATCAAAACACAAAACAAAGTGAAAAACATGCAGCTTTCCCCCTGTAACCTCTTTCAATTACAGTAAGCTTAGGGCAAAATAATTCAGGAAGAAGTGTGATTTTCAAATTGACATATTGGTCTTTTGTGCAATTTTGCACATTATCAAGTTATCCCCATTCAGTTTGGTTCTGTTTGGGGAATTATGAGCTTCCATAATTCTTCCCATTTTGGTCAGTCTGCTTTTAGATTGCTTGTCAAGTGATTCATCTTGTATTGGGTGCTGCGTTCTGCTGCATTGTCAAAAGAATATTTTAGATTTCCAGTGCAAATACAGAATAAAACAGGATTCAGCTGGACACAGAATCTAAAAAAGTTTATGATTATAACTGGTCAAAAATTTTAAAAGAAACATACCTTCCAACAAAAAATATGGTCTTTTTTCAGAAAAGGAGCTTTTCATGAAAAATTGTCAAAATCTTCAAAGTTTTCAACTTTTTGTGAGAATTTTTAATATGTCTGTCAACTTTTGTATTGACATGTTTACCAAAATTGTGTTTGAAATCACTGTAAAACATTTTTATTGCGTGAAAATGTTTGGTAATGATTTTAAACGTGATTTTTGGAAATCTGCACTTTTGGTAAATGACAATGTTTGACAACTTTGAGAATGATTTTGATTTTAAAAAGATAAAATTACAGGGATAATTTCCTGAAAACAGATGATGGATCAATTTCAAACCCTGCAAAACATAATCAGGTCTTAAATTCTGAAACTGCAAAACTATTTTTTGACCAAGATGCTCTCCAAAGGTCCCAGTTAAACTGTCTCATGTTTAACTAGATACTCACTTTAGACTAACATTTTAACATTTCTGTAGAATATGAAACTAGGTTTTCTCACAAACTTTGAATCCAAAAGTTTTTGAAGTGCTTAATAAGTGACAGTCACATTCATATAATTTTGACATATATTCACTACCAATTTTATCTAATACCTCATATAACACAGACTTCTCAAAGTAGTCTTTGACAGCAAGTGAATTAAAGACAATACCTGTCTAGCTAAAATGAAATTTGCTACTAAGCATTTCCAACCACCTCAGTTACTTACCTGCCTTTTGTCAATCGTAAAAGGAATTTCCAATAAGAAGGTCTCAGGGTCTGAACTTCCATCACAGCCTACAATCAGAATATTGATCATAATTTCTCCCAGTAAATAATTAAAACATGATCAGCCATAGATACTAAGAAAATGAAAGTGAGCTACCTGCAATTCTTACTCTCTAATGATATGTAGGCACAAGAGAGCCATACTCTTGGGTATGTGCTAACTGCAAATGACTAGTGAGAGAACCATAGCTAAAGTCTCTGAACATCAGATCATAGCAGGGTAGCATGTCTGTTCCCCTACATGAAGCCCTGGTCACCTGAGATGCCTCAATCCATCAGTTACCTTAGACGTAAAGATAGAAAATATACCATTTTATGGGGATGCTTTGTGGGTGACTAGAGTTGTTTTGGTTAAGCACCAGTGAATAAGAATTGAAAGTAAAAAGAAAAGGAGTATTTGTAGCACCTTAGAGACTAACCAATTTATTTGAGCATGAGCTTTTGTGAGCTACAGCTCACTTCATCAGATGTATACCGTGGAAACTGCAGCAGACTTTATATATACACAGAGAATATGAAACAATACCTCCTCCCACCCCACTGTCCTGCTGGTAATAGCTTATCTAAAGTGATCATCAGGTGGGCCATTTCCAGCACAAATCCAGGTTTTCTCACCCTCCACCCCCCCACACAAATTCACTCTCCTGCTGGTAATAGCCCATCCAAAGTGACAACTCTTTACATAATCAAGTCGGGCTATTTCCTGCATAAATCCAGGTTTTCTCACATCCCCTCCCACCCCCATACACACACAACCTCACTCTCCTGCTGGTAATAGCTCATCTAAACTGACCACTCTCCAAGTTTAAATCCAAGTTAAACCAGAACATCTGGGGGGGGGGGGGGGTAGGAAAAAACAAGAGGAAACAGGCTACCTTGCATAATGACTTAGCCACTCCCAGTCTCTATTTAAGCCTAAATTAATAGTATCCAATTTGCAAATGAATTCCAATTCAGCAGTTTCTCGCTGGAGTCTGGATTTGAAGTTTTTTTGTTTTAAGATAGCGACCTTCATGTCTGTGATTGCGTGACCAGAGAGATTGAAGTGTTCTCCGACTGGTTTATGAATGTTATAATTCTTGACATCTGATTTGTGTCCATTTATTCTTTTACGTAGAGACTGTCCAGTTTGACCAATGTACATGGCAGAGGGGCATTGCTGGCACATGATGGCATATATCACATTGGTGGATGTGCAGGTGAACGAGCCTCTGATAGTGTGGCTGATGTTATTAGGCCCTGTGATGGTGTCCCCTGAATAGATATGTGGGCACAATTGGCAACGGGCTTTGTTGCAAGGATAAGTTCCTGGGTTAGTGGTTCTGTTGTGTGGTATGTGGTTGTTGGTGAGTATTTGCTTCAGGTTGCGGGGCTGTCTGTAGGCAAGGACTGGCCTGTCTCCCAAGACTTGTGAGAGTGTTGGGTCATCCTTTAGGATAGGTTGTAGATCCTTAATAATGCGTTGGAGGGGTTTTAGTTGGGGGCTGAAGGTGACGGCTAGTGGCGTTCTGTTATTTTCTTTGTTAGGCCTGTCCTGTAGTAGGTAACTTCTGGGAACTCTTCTGGCTCTATCAATCTGTTTCTTCACTTCTGCAGGTGGGTATTGTAGTTGTAAGAAAGCTTGACAGAGATCTTGTAGGTGTTTGTCTCTGTCTGAGGGGTTGGAGCAAATGCGGTTGTATCGCAGAGCTTGGCTGTAGACGATGGATCGTGTGGTGTGGTCAGGGTGAAAGCTGGAGGCATGCAGGTAGGAATAGCGGTCAGTAGGTTTCCGGTATAGGGTGGTGTTTATGTGGCCATTGTTTATTAGCACTGTAGTGTCCAGGAAGTGGATCTCTTGTGTGGACTGGACCAGGCTGAGGTTGGTGGTGGGATGGAAATTGTTGAAATCATGGTTGAATTCCTCAAGGGCTTCTTTTCCATGGGTCCAGATGATGAAGATGTCATCAATATAGCGCAAGTAGAGTAGGGGCTTTAGGGGACGAGAGCTGAGGAAGCGTTGTTCTAAATCAGCTATAAAAATGTTGGCATACTGTGGGGCCATGCGGGTACCCATAGCAGTGCCGCTGATCTGAAGGTATACATTGTCCCCAAATGTGAAATAGTTATGGGTAAGGACAAAGTCACAAAGTTCAGCCACCAGGTTAGCCGTGACATTATCGGGGATAGTGTTCTTGACGGCTTGTAGTCCATCTTTGTGTGGAATGTTGGTGTAGAGGGCTTCTACATCCATAGTAGCCAGGATGGTGTTATCAGGAAGATCACCGATGGATTGAAGTTTCCTCAGGAAGTCAGTGGTGTCTCGAAGGTAGCTGGGAGTGCTGGTAGCGTAGGGCCTGAGGAGGGAGTCTACATAGCCAGACAATCCTGCTGTCAGGGTGCCAATGCCTGAGATGACGGGGTGCCCAGGATTTCCAGGTTTATGGATCTTGGGTAGTAGATAGAATATCCCAGGTCGGGGTTCCAGGGGTGTGTCTGTGCGGATTTGATCTTGTGCTTTTTCAGGAAGTTTCTTGAGCAAATGCTGTAGTTGCTTTTGGTAACTCTCAGTGGGATCATAGGGTAATGGCTTGTAGAAACTCGTGTTGGAGAGCTGCCGAGCAGCCTCTTGTTCATATTCCGACCTATTCATGATGACAACAGCACCTCCTTTGTCAGCCTTTTTGATTATGATGTCAGAGTTGTTTCTGAGGCTGTGGATGGCATTGCGTTCCGCATGGCTGAGGTTATGGGGCAAGTGATGCTGCTTTTCCACAATTTCAGCCCGTGCACGTCAGCGGAAGCACTCTATGTAGAAGTCCAGTCTGCTGTTTCGACCTTCAGGAGGAGTCCATCTAGAATCCCTCTTTCTGTAGTGTTGGTAGGGAGACCTCTGTGGATTAGTATGTTGTTCAGAGGTATTTTGGAAATATTCCTTGAGTCGGAGACGTCGAAAATAGGATTCTAGGTCACCACAGAACTGTATCATGTTCGTGGGGGTGGAGGGGCAGAAGGAGAGGCCCCGAGATAGAACAGCTGCTTCTGCTGGGCTGAGAGTATAGTTGGATAGGTTAACAATATTGCTAGGTGGGTTGAGGGAAACTTGATTTATTCTAAAGGAATGGTACAGAAAACATATTCTCACTCCCGGAGAATAAAAAGCTCCAGAAATGCATTCAGCCTGAACAAAAGTAGGGTTGGCAGATTCTGACAGCAGCATGCAGATGGCAGGATGGAGTAGCAGAAAGTGGCAGGCGAGTAGGTCAACACGGCCAGGGCCTTTGCAGCAGCCGTGGGAGGTAGATTCAACCAGCACAGCCAGGGCCGGACTGGGGAAGGCAAGAAGAGGAGTAAACCATGGATGAAGAGGTGGTTTTGAGGCACTATAGAAAGGTGGTGAAGGAGTAGGTGATTCAGGAGGGAAGAGAGAGGAGATGACTGCAGCTTGCTTCAAGTTACAAAACTGGAGATTTCCTTGTTAGTTTCTCCTGATTTTTCAAATCTACAGTTGCAGTTAAAGTGGATTGAGTGTGAAGTTTTCCAATTCAGCAGTACTCTATGGTTGAATATTAAAACTTATTGTCTGTCTCCTGGAGCAAAATACTAAGTGAGGTGAAGTCTCTGCCAATCAGTCCATTTTTAATCGTCTTTGGTTAATACATCTTGAGATTTTTTTTTCCATAGAAGTCAAAACCTGCTTATGATACCCACATTATATTACAAATGGATAAACAGTCATGGAAAGACTAAATTATCTTCCCACCGTAACAGTACAAAATCAGTGTGGCAGATACAGAAATAGGAGCTACATTGCACTAACTCCTGCTTTATCATGGAATCTCCATTTCAACCCATTGTTTTAATCAAAATTTGAAATAAGTTGAAGGAATTTTGATTTTATTTGAAGGCAAAATACGTACCGCCTGAAAGCAGATTGCTGTGGAAATGGCATAGATGATGCTGTCTGCATGAGGAAAATAGGGAACCTTTCCTGCTTCAATGCCTTTGAAGTACATGGTCTATAAAAACAAACAAAACACATGTTGAGTAAATCATACCAAAGGCAAATGCATGTACTTTGTCGTTAGTTATGGTCCCATTCCTGAAGTCCCCTGCCAAAGTTGTGACAGCTACTGAAATTCATGTGACATTTTCTTATGCAAGAGCCATGACCTGCAAGCTCATCGGTGTTCTGTAATTTATTTATGGATTTTTCACACTGGAGTGACGTATACATTCAATGCATGGCAAGACTTACTAAAGGATTTTCCAACATTATTGGCTGCAGACTAGCTGCAGGAGGAGGGCAGAAAAGAGAAGCAGTGGAGGTAAGGAAAGCTCTATGAACTCAGATCCAGCCCACCCTTTACAGCTCTGGGGAAAGCAGTCCATTTTCTCTCCCTGCTTAAGTGATTTCTGATGCAGTGATTTCTGATGCAGCTAGCAATGGGAACAACTCCCCTGTTCCTGTGGCATGCAGTTCACTTGTACCCAATGGAACCACCAGCAAATACCGATTCCCCTGCACCATGCAACAAGCAGCATGTAGCCTTCCAGAGAATGGGGGACTGTAATGGGAGAGCCACAAAACAAGGAAAAAGAGAGCAAAATAAAATTAAAATTAAACTAGAAAGCTTTAAAAGAGAGAAAATAAAAATCTTGATGAGCAGGAAGAAAGAATAAAGACAACAAGAATAAAAGCAGACACTATAAAGAGCATGTAGAGAGAAGTATGGGGACAGTGATCTCTTTGTACCAGGGGTTGGTATGAGGGATGGGAATGCCCATCCACCAATCACTCCAAAGGAGGCTGCAAACAAACCACGGTTGGGAACTAGTGATGATGTAAATAGATGCGCAGTTTGTCAGTGCATTCATCGTTAGAAGCGTACCATTAACATAGCTTTTTCCATCTTCAAAGCTATTTGAACATTAACTAGTCGTCACATACCTCTATGAGGAAAGTCAAGAAACACCACTGTTACACTCTGTACCTCAAAGCAGCACCCCGGAACCCCCATATTCACTACTCTGATATGATTATGAGATGTTTTGTACAAAGTATGCCTTGTGAGGTATCATTTAAAAAGTCTTGATCTGCTGAATGTTAATATCCTGTTGAGGTGTATATTCTGTTATTGTATGTGAAGTTATAAAGAATTGCTGTGTGCGCGTTACTGAAATATGTCATGAAGTGGGGAGTACCCAGCTAGCATTTCAGTAGCTACAAAGGAGCAACTATCACTGCCCAGACAGGGACTGATGGCCCATCAAGAAGAATCCACTCTTCCAGAGACTCCTCAGAGAGAGCACATACGCAATTAGGACTGCCTGACCCCACATCACAGCAAGGATCTTTCTAGTACCTGGAAAAAAGTATAAAAGAGGGACAGTGACATCATCACTTGGCCTTTCTCCTCCCCCATCTCAACACCTGGAAGATCATCTGGAAGACACAGACTTTGAACTGGGGAGATTGGTCCCAGACTGGGAAGGGAATCTAGCCTGTGTATTGACAACTGTAAGCTGCCCCTAATATCTATTAGGGTGAGAGACTGCTTGATTCAAATATTGCTTAGTCTGTAGATTTTAGACTGCAAGTTTATTCTTATTTCTTAGGTAACCAACATTGACTTCTAATCTACCTTTCTGTAGTTAATAAATCTGTTTTATATTTTACCTAAAACAGCGTGTTCTTGGTTGAAGTGCTTGGGGAATCTCAGCTCAGTTTACAAAGGTTGGTGCATGTCCACTTTCCTATGATGAAGTGGCAAACTAATGAATGAGCTTGTACTGTCCAAGGGAGTCTTGGTGAAAGATGGTATATTTCTGGGGTACAAGCGTAGGAGCTGGGGTGACTTGCTGGTGCCTCTCGCTGTATGATTCATGAGTGGCTCAGGGAGCATTCATGCAATTTAGCTGGCTGTGGGGTTCCACATGCTGATGGCTGAGTGATCACAGCACCTGGAGGGGTTTGCTGCTTGTTACTGACACAGCATTGTGTGAGACAGCCCAGGCTGGAGAGTTATGGGGGCACAGCAGTCCCACAGTTCCGGGTATCCTTTCAAACCCACATTACAAATGTGACTATTGTGGCAGATGGCTTAAATGACTTGTCCAGATCAACGAAAGTAGTATAAATGCTGAGATTAGAATGCAGAGGCTCCTGGATCCTATTGAACAGCACTACATTAATGAGTACTAGGGAACTTTTATGTGCACTTGCAAGGTCTATTTGGAGCAATTAGTGTGCAACACATTAGTGCACTTTATTCATCTTCTCCCTCCCCCCGCAGTGTGCATTACACCACCCGTAGATAAGCCTTCTGGTTCCTGAGTGCCTAAGGCACTTTTGAAAATGGGATTCTGGTCCCTAAGTCACCTAGGTGCATTTAAAAAATTTACCCCAAATGTCTATATGACATTGCACAGCATGGATTTGTTTATTTTAAAGGGGCATTGTAGATCTTGGAGAGTACAGGAGGTAATCTCTGTGATACATGCTTCTTTTTAAAAAGAACAAAGCCAAACAAAGCGGTAAGTAGTCAAATACAATGGATATTTTGCTACCCTTAAACAACTCCAAATCACATACTTTCTTTTTGAGAAAACATTTAAAGTTTATTTTCTTGAACACAGCTTGACCTTCCAAGCAGCATACGCCTCTTTGGTCAGTTACCCTTGGCTTGTATAATATGGTAAAAGAAGTAAAAACTGAAATAAACCCATGCAGTATTTTTGTTATTTCATTGCAGCCACAATGTCTCAGAGTAAAGTCCAGAGAAAACCATCAGCAATACAGCATAACATTTTATTTATTATAAATGTAGCCCTGAAGTACGTAGAACTAATACAACAGGGATAACCCTATGGGACTGAGTTGTGTTGACATATCATTACGTAAACCACCTTCAGAATCTGACTCTGGATTGTAAGGAACATTTAGGACCACATTACATGTTTCTCTTTGTTTCACATTTCATCTTATTCTTCACATTTTTCTCTCTCTTTTCTTTAAAACAAATCCATAGCTAGCAAAGGAGCTGGATTAACAGTATTAGAGATTGGAGTCCTGGAGGTGAGTGGAAGGAAGTGGCAATGGTTCGGGGTTTTGGCATAATGGGCAGACACTATCAGTTTATCCCAGTGCGGCTGCTAGAGGAAGAGCCATGAATAACTCATGATTTCATAGAAAAATCACAGTGAAACTTAAAAAAAGACTCCAAAGAGTGATCTCCCCTTTTCTTTCCCAATTCACATATTCATAAACTGTGACTATAAATATGGGTGTATGAACAATCCCTGAGTTGTTGTTTGCATAGGCAGTCACTCTTCATTTTTACTTTTTCCCAGGCTAACATAATTTTAATAGCTCATAGAAAACAGAATGGACTTTCAGACCTCAAAAAAAAAAAAAAAAAAAAAAAAAGCAATGTAACTGGTGGTCACTTTCCAGGTTAGAATTTGATCAATTAAAGCAAACAGGAAAGCAATTTCATCTGCATGCTAAAACCAAAACTATATTGAGTTACCGTAATTCATAATTCAGACTAATGCCAAAATCAGAGAACAGAGGCAGGAAGTCAGCTGTAGGTTTTGGCAATAAATCTGAAGGGAAGGACTAGTTTTGACTTATGGTTTTGGTGGAAATTGACAAAATGCACATTCTTGGAACTTTTATATTTGAAATTCTGCAAAGGTGATGCAGCAGGGGGCTACAAAAAGGAAATTAGGGGGAGATGAGGGGGAAAATATGTGCAGATAAATGGATAAACTGTTAGACTTAGTTCTGGAAAGGAGGGATATAAAGGAAATGAGACCACAGGACTGAGCCATCACTTGGGCACACGTCTGGTATAATGGAGCATCGTTGTACAATCTCACATTACATTTGCACTTTTGGCCAACGCTTGTAACATTTGTTTTCTTCCTCCGCTCTGTTACAACAGCTAAGAAGAAACACTCTGGAACTAGCAGTGTACCTTACTTACCTCCACTAGTTTGGAAGCCAGGTACATGGAGATAGTAGTGCTTTTGTAAAACATCATAGAAACTCCTGCCAGGGATCCTGCAACAGTTAGAAAACAAAATTATTGGTAAGAGCCTCAACTATTTCCTTGCTATCGCTCAACACAGTTCTGACATTACACAAACTTGTGACTCTCTCTATTAGCATCTATTACATCCAATGTTCAGTGATGTTTCTGTAGTGCATATGAAAGGGTCTTTTATGCTTTTTAGAAAGAACAGACTCCTGTAATTTTGAAACTGGGAGCCAAATCTTTAGCCCCGTAACCAGCTTCCTGGCCCCAAATCCCCCCCCACCCCCGAACTGGTCCAGAGGATCCATACAACAGTGGATGCTCTGGACCTGACTCTACACACCCACATCCCTGCTGCACAGCGGGTCCACAGGGAGCAGCACTGGGCACCATGCAGACAGTGCATACTTTGTACATACTCACTTCCCACCCCCTCACAGCACAGTGGAACTGCATCAGTTCTACTGCCCAGGGATGTTCTTTGGCTCCAGTGGAAGGGCCAGGTTCTGTCCCTCTTTTTAAATGAACATGCTAATGTATACAGAGCAAGTTCTATTAGACATTGGGAAAGATCAAAATAAAAAAGACAACCTTACTCTTGTGCCAAGTACAATTTATTGCCCTTGATGCTAAACACAAACAATGCAAGTATAATTTATAAAAGGAAACTTCAGAACAAAAGTATTGCATTTACATTAAACCACCTAAACGCTGGTTTTCATTTCAACACAAGCTTCACATTTACTTTCCTGTTCTCAAAGCACTTAGAAATTCCGGAATAGGAACTCGGGACAGACTTCCAAATGCTCTCCAGTAATATTTCACAGTATATGGTGCTTTTCATCCTAAGTATCCTAAGGTGCTTTATAAATGATGGGGTAAATGGTGTTCTCTGTTGTGTGCATACGCTGTGGGGAGAAGAGCATGCACATGAAGTCTAAGTTGAAGTGTCGGAGTAAGATAGGATACTGGTCTCGAGTGCTACGCTGGGGAACTGGTTAATGTGGCCATCAGCACACAATGGTTCCAAGGGTTAGCCTGCTGGACAGATAATGGAATGTACTGCACAAACAAAAGCGGTTACACGCAAGCTATGTGCTGTCCTACGTATGCTATCAAGATGGCTTGATGACCTCCTTTTCCTCCTGCAATGCAGCTCCTAAAGTGTAACGGCAGGATTTTGCTCTCTATGGGTAGGTTTACACTGCAAGCAAAGATGTGCTTGTAGCATGGGCAGGTATATCATGCTAGCTGTAATCTGCCTAGCATGGATAACAACATTAGTGCTGACGCGGTGGCACAGGATTCAGCATGGGCTAGCTGCTACCGTACAAACCCTGCAGGGACCTTGGGTACATGCTCGGGTTGTTCGCCCACACTAAAGCGCATGCTTCCTTCTCTAAACTACCATCGTTGCCCGTTCTAGCTACATTAAAGCTAGATTAGGTATGCCTATCCATGCTACAATCACATCTCTTCTTGCTGTGTAGAAATACTCTGTGTGGTACTTACACACCCCCTGAAGGGGAAGGCAGAAGTTATCCAGATAACCAGGCTTGCTGCCCTGGGTGCCAACTTCCAGGGGATGCCGTGCTGCTCAGCCCCCCCCCCTTTTTTTTGCACTCCACTGACTGACTGCCCACTCTTTTTTTGTTGTTTTTTCCAACCTCTTGGTGGTGGTGGTGGGGGGAGGGGGAGGGAAGTGTGCCAAAATCTAGTCTACCTCTCAAAATGCCTACGGCCACTCCTGTGGACAATCTATGCCCAGCACATTGTACAACCAAAGGGGAGGGGGAAATTTGGTTAAAGATACTGGGGGCAAGCCCCCATTCTTATGAAGTGTCATGCAATCTTTAATGGCCACACAGGGAACAGAGATCCTTGGGATTTTAAGGCTTCATTCATTAGGATTGGGATTCAGGTTATGTCCTTTAGAAGGAAGAAAGTCTGTTTCACAAACACACACACACACCCACCCACCCATCAGGATTTGAACCTGTGGTTCCAGCAAGTCTAGGTGTTTTAGAGCTGCTGCTAGAGACTCAGCCATTCCTTCTGGCTAAGCAACAGTAGCTTGTTTATATTTATGCATTTAATCCAACCTTTTAAATCTAATGACAATATTACTGACTTGGGCACTATCCACTTCTTCTCATGGACTTACCTGCTATAAGAGCATGAAGTTCATCATCCAGGTTTCGTACCCAGCGCAGGAAGCAACTAGTACCCTGCATTTGTGGGGGAAATACAATAGCCTTGGTTAGTGTTTTATTTAAAATGTTATTAGTTTGGGGTTACATTACAGTATAATCCAATAATAATGTATAAACATATATATAAGGTATTCATGAATGATCAACAATCACCTCATTAACAATTGTCCCGACTGCTACTATACGCATTTATAAGGCACCCATCACTGGGGTTCCTGGGTGCACTTTATGTATTTTAGATTAGGAGCAAACTAAATTTTCTCAACATTCGGGAGCATATACTGTGTGATCAATCAAACTAACCTTAAACTTACTCTGAAGGGAGAGGGGAAAATCCACCTGCTGTCTGATTACTGTCCATATATTTGGAGCAGCTTAATTTGCTGATCAATCTCTCCCCTCCCCTGTTCAGCTGTGAGGAACAAGAGTAGCCAAAGAGGGTGGGAGGGGTAGAGGAGGGTGACTTTGGTTGACCTCCACTAGGGCCAGAACACTCTCCAGTTCCTCATGTGTCCACCCACAGGCCCACGATGTTTTGATAAATCAGGGCTCCCAGTAACCTAAAGAGCAACTTTAAAGTTTTGCAAATAGCTAAAAGTCCCAATGGAATTGCGGTGTTGTTGTTGCCATGTTGGTTCCATGACACAAGAGACAAGGTGGGTGAGGTAATCTTTGATTGGACCAACTTCTGTTGGTGGAATGGACAAGCTTTCAAGATACACAGAGCTTGTCCTCAGATCTCATTGTCCTAGTGGAATTCCGAGTAACCTGTTGTTATTATGAGCAATTCATAGACCTGTAGAGATTAAGGCCAGAAGGAACCATTAGAATAGATAATCTAGCCTTACCTCCTGTACAGCACAGGTCATTAACTTTCACCTAGTTACCCTTGTATTGATCCCCAAAATTTGTCTTTGACTGAAGCATAACTTGTGTTTGACAAAAGTATATCTTCTAAAAAGCATCTGAAGATATCAAGATTTTTGAAGTGGTCCATGATGTGTCCTCACTGCATCTTGTATTCCATTTTTTTGGCTTGCAATAAGTGAGTGGTTAGAAGGTACTATACAAGATCTGCTTACGTTACACTATGCTTAGTAGGTGAGGTATAGATGTGGTTCTCTGTGACATATCTCAAAGCAGAAATAAAAAACAATGTAACACACATTCAACATGCAGTCACCCTTCAACATTAAAAACATCAGGCAGAATATTTCACCCTTTATAAACTCCAGTAAAAGATTTGAGTAGCTGTCATTTTTGTAAACTCTCAACAGCTCATTTGTGCAGTTCTACCAAAATTTTTAATCCCGGTAATTAACAATTACTTGTGTCTAATTCTAGCCACTTTAAATTAAAAGTGAAATTCTGTTTTCTTGCTTTGCAGCCTGTAACAGTTGATTACAAAAGTAAGACAGTAGTTTTTAGCTTTTGAATACTCACATATTTATGTCTGAATACGCAATAGAAATATTGTTAATTTGGTTAAGGATATGAAATTGCTATGGTTACATCAACATTTGAGTATTGCAGCATGCTCTGCGTGTGGCTATAGGTTGGGCCAGATTCTCAGCTGCTGTAAATCAATATAATTCAGTTGATTTCAAGGGAGCTGCAGTAATCTACATCAGCTGACAATCCAGTCTACATCAGTTTAAAATCTGGAACTGGAGTAGAAGGTGGCTTCCCAACTGGTGAGTGGAGTGTCATAGGAGTAGCACAGGACACTTTATCCTACAATTTTTTGCTGGTAGCTTCAAGGTTGTACAAGGAGGAGGGTGAAAAGTTGTTCACTTTAAGTGCTGAGGATAGGATATGAAGCAATGGACTTACATTGCAGCAAGGGCAGTTTAGGTTAGACATTAGGAAAAACAACCTGTCAGCGTAGTGAACATTCCAAAAACTACCTAGGGTGGTTGTGGAATCTCCATCATTGTCTAACCTGTTCTTAAAACCTCCAAACACCTGTCAGGACTGGTCTACTTAGTCCTGCTTTGAGTGCAGGGGATTGGACTAGATGACCTACTGAGGTTCCTTCCAGTCCTACACTTCTATGATTCTAAGGTAGAATTGAAGATGTTGCTTATGAGCTAAAAAACCCTAAGTGGCCTGGGAGATGCCTACTTGAAAAAGAGCCTCTTTTCATGGGCAATACTGTTTCTCCTGCAGATAATAGAGGTGGCTGAGCTAGAGTCTCCTCCATATAACAGAAAGGGCTGCTGACACCATCCGTTTCACTTTAGAATTCACTCCCCTCTAGGTCTGAAATTGCTCAAATCCACTCACTTTCAGGACATACTGCAAATCTCATCTGTTTTTTTGAGCACTCGTGGGGAGAATGGAAGAGCAGATCCTGAGCTTGGGCATTGGCTTGACATTTATGATTTGATTACAACTAGACTTTGTTATGGGCTGAGGGTCTGTACAATGTCAGAATGTTTAAGTAAAGACGGGGGGGCTTTTTGTTATTTTCGAAATCAACATAAATAAATGATACTAAGTTTTCAATGTTTTTGCACTTACTTTGTATATACTGACAAAAGATCCCAGAAAGGCTCCAAGCTGGAAGTTTTCTTTGTTATAGAATAGAGAAAGCAGCCGGGAAGGTTTTGTAAATAGATGCCTGAACGCTGATGGGATTCGAAGGCAACACTGGATCAGGTAACCAACACTAAACATTCTAATGAAGCCCTGGAGGAAAAGTTAAGAAACAGCAACTTTAAAAAAAATTGGCAAAAAACATGACCTACACGAGTGTACTCGTAGCTTATTTTTGAAATGCAGCATTTTAAAAGCCCACTTTGTTGACATTATCTGAAATGTACCCTCCCTTCTTGGAACTTGAAACTAGCTTTTTGAACTAACTTCCCTGCAAAATAACTAAGGAAATAGAATCCTAGACCGCCTAGATTGACTGTCTTTCTTTTAACTTAAATGGATACTTAAAAGGTCTCAAAGGACACACACTATCTCTACTCCAAAATTCTGTTCCTTGAAACAGTCCTGATGGCTTAATTTCCAAATTATTCTCTCCCCGCCTTCAACCACAGTTGGGTATGGAAAGGCAAACAATGTGGTAAAGAAAATAAGCCACATACTCAAACATCTGGAAGAAGTGCTGAGGGAGGGGAAAAGCCCATAACAAAACAAAGTCCTTTCAGAAAATGTGTGAATTAGACAGTGACAGTGACTCCTTGACATGTTCTCTCAACAAACAACCGACCTGGAGGCTTTGCAAAGTCTGCTATGAAGAAAGTGCAAACCCAGAAGAGATCATGTGCAGAACTATTAAAAAAGACAAACACAGGCTCATATGAAATTCTTCCTACTGCTCCACCCTGAAAGGCTGATATGTCTCAGAGTTTGTTTTGTAAAGTGCCATAACTGAGATTGGGTTGGTTCTTTCGTTCTAAATTCTTTTCTTTTTCTGTTTCTTGTAATTTTCTCAACAGTTTCTTATGCTTATTCTTAGCCCACAGGTAACCATCTCTGAAAAGTCTGAAGAAAATCTGTCCACTCATTTAAAAAAAATCATCCAAGTGTGAGGAAAAAAAGCTTCAGCCTTTAAGAAAATTATTTAGAGGCTTCTTTTTTCTTCTTCTTTTAACGGTTTGATAATTTAAGAACAGTTGGTTTTAAAGCATAAATCTAGGTATTTATCACTCTCTCTCCACATAGCAGAAAATGCTTTCTTGGTTGGAAACATTTCATTTGAAAATATCTGAACATCGTGTGCTGAGCACTGGTAGTACATTCTTACTGAATTAAGCAGGCCTCTGAGTGGGATGTTCCAAATGTTCAAGGTTTCTGTTATTTGTTTATAAAACCAGTGGGCAGAGGATTGAAATTAGCAATCTGTCCAATTCAGAAATTAAAAATCTGTGCATCATACAGAACATTTTAATCCCTCATAAAAAGTCCCAAAACTTTATTCTGGTTAAACATCATCAGCAACACCCATTTCTTGCAACAATAATATTCCATAACTTTTTACTTATGAAACTGTTTATGAAACAAAGTAAGTGGGGTACAACAGTTAAATAACAATGTCTGGAAGTGGATGGACAGTATTAGTGCATTCCGGAATAAGTGTATTGTGTCTTTTACAATGGTACTAGTGAAAAGGCAGTAGCCAGCTGTATGAAATAGCTCCTATGTCTCCATCGCATGTGGCTTTAAAAGCTAAGTAAATGATATCTTCTGGGGAACTTTTATCTCATATTTTCTAAATAGTTTATATCACAGTGAGGTGCGATCATATAATGAAAACCTCTATTTCAAAGTTTATGGGCAAGGCAGAATTAAATTTACTCCGTGAATCTTAATTCTGAATTTTCTGACTTTTGTGTAATTAAAATGTCAAATTTAAGATGAATTTAGATTATGTAAAATTATGGGAAGTTTTACAATAGTCACAAACATAGGACAAAAACAAAAAACTCAGAGCCCTCACTTTTCACCCACCAAAAGAAAAAGGGATTTTAGTTCTGATGGACTAGAACACGACATTGTATTATGCTGTTCCAATCTGCAAACTGTCTAGCACATGAGTAACTCATGAACAAGTCCCATTGAAATGTGTGGGTCTGCAGGATTAGGGCCTTAGCTCTCGTGTGCAGCGAACAGTAGCAAGACATATAAATACTGAATCTTTATCATTAGTTCAGTGAGCAATAAGGAGACAATATAACAAGCACTTTACAGCTGATTTGCATTACCTGTAGTCACACAAAAAATTCAGTTTTGTAAATTATAAGATCATCAATTATCACTTTTATTCTCCATAGAAAGATATCAGATCACAGGCAAATGAATGGGGGAAAAGAAAAATATAAAAAATACACAAAAGAAGGAAATTAATATACACTGAAATCTCTATATTAAACCTTTCCTTAGGAACAATGTTGCAGAAATTTTATGATTTGGATACGAAGAGCCAGAAATAGCAGTGCAATTAAATTACACATCTGCAAAAATCATCTGAGGAATTCAATTTTTTTAAAAAGATTCTTTAAAAATATCTTGATAGTATTAAAACTCAATTCCCCAAATGTATATATTCAAAACAGAGTTCAGTAATATACCAGAAGTCAGATAAATTGTAGCAGTGTTTCCAAATAGTATTAAATCTATCAATTTTTTAATAAATTTGCTTTCAAATTAAATGTAGAATCATTTACAAATTGAACTGTTCGGTATAGTATCCCACATCTCTTGAAAGAATAATAAAAATAAAATAAAATAAAATAATTAAACAGATTGTAACTACTGGAGTATTCTCCTAATTTTCTTCTAGTCACCACAATTACCAGGTAAACTGTATTGTTCATCTGCTGTTATCATCAACACTGGCACAGAGAAACTGAAGTTCATCATTTTAGGTACGCACTGTTGGCTAACATATATCTTCCTTTAAATTAGCTGCTGGAATCAAGTGGATCAAAGGAGAAAGGGAAGGCTCTTCAAATGCCTTTGTTGGACTAGACAACCCTTCACAGAACTCTACACAGCCAAGACACCCAGATTATTTCAAATTCTAAGTGAAGTTTATGAAAATGAGGTGATCCACTAGCCTGCTATCAAAGATAAAGATAAAAGGCTACTGCAGGTTATACTAGCTGGCTAATATATGTCTAAATATGGAGAAGGAAAGAGAAAAGAGAATGTGATAGAAATGTATGCATAACTATGATAATAGGAAGACAAGCAATGGTAAGGGAAAATATAATACAGAGGAAAAACTTGGCATTATCACGGATAGTTCTCAGAAAATATCTGCTCAAACTAAAAGAATGTTAGGAACCATTAGGAAAGGAACAGATAAGAAGACAGAAAATGTCATAATGCCACTGTATAAATCCATGGTACACCCACATCTTGAATACTCTGTGTAGTTCTGGTTGCACCACTTCAAAAAAGATGTATCAGAATTGGAAATGGTAGAGAGAAGGGCAACAAAAATGACTAGAGGTATGGAACAGCTTCCATGAGGAGAGATTGAAAAGACTGGGACTGTTCATCTTGGAAAAGAGATAACTAAGGGGGGATCTGATAAAGGTCTATACAATAATGAATTGTGTGAGAAAGTGACTAGGGAAGTGTTATTTACCCCTTCACATAACACAAGAACCAGAGGTCATCTGATGAAATTAAGAGGCAGCAGATTAAAAACAAACATAAGGAAGTACTTCACACAACGCACAGTCAACCTGTGGAAATCGTTACCAGGGAATGTTGTGAAGGCCAAAAGTATAACTGGGTTCAAAGAAGAATCAGATAAATTCACGGAGACTAGGTCCATCACTGGCTAATAGCCAAGATGGTTAGGGATGCAATCCCATGCTCTGGGTATCCCTCAACCTCTGACTGTTAGAAACTGGAACTGGATGACAAGGGATGGATCTCTTGATAAATTGCCCTGTTCTGTTCACTGCCTCTGAAGCATCTGACATGGGCCACTGTTGGAAGCAGAACAGTGGACTAAATGGACCATTGGTTTGACCACGTATGCCATTCTTATGTTTGTTAAGGTAAATAAATTGAGCTCCTTGAGTCTATCACTGTAAGGCAGGTTATCTAATCCTTTAATCATTCTTATGGGTCTTCTCTGAATCCTCTATAATTTATCAACATCCTTCTTGAATTGTTGACACCAGAATTGGACGTGGTATTCCAGCAGCAGTCACATGAGGGCCAAATACAGAGGTAAAATAACCTCTCTATTTCTACTCAAGATTCCCCTGTTTATGCATCCAAAGATCACATTAGCACTTTTGGCCACAGTGTTACACTGGGAGCTCATGTTCAGCTGATTATCCACCCTGACTCCCAAATCTTTTTCTGAGTCACTGCTTCCTACATCCTGTAAGTGTGGCCCTACATCCTTTGTTCCTAGATGTATACATTTACATTTAACTATAAAGCTGTGCAACAGCTAACCACATGTTGTCTTAACTTAGGCCCTGATCATACGAACACTTATGCACATGCTAACGTTACTACTATGTTAAGTCCAACTGAAGACATGGAATTTTATAGAATCTATACATTAGGCACCCAATTTTGAAAATTCTGGTGAAAATAATAAAAAAATAGGTGCTGAATGGTTCTCTCTTTTCTCATCCCAAGGAGGGAAGAGGTATTTTCTGTTAGTTATTCTAGTTGTGTTGTTTTTATGTTTAGTCACTTTATCTTTAGTAAAAAAAAATTGTTACAATTATTCTGAATATTTTGTAAATATTTTATTACACATTCCCAGATCTATTCAGCAAAATACTTCACGTCCCACAGACTTCAATGGAACTTCAGCACATACTTAAATACTTTGTTGAATCAGAGGCTAACACTGTCACTAAGTTTGCTGAAATATTGCATAGTTCAAAGAAAAAGTAACAAAATAATATTGAACAAGATACTGAACTGTGTAAATATAAGAAAATAACTATTGTACTATACCTCCTCTAAAGCTTTATCTTAATGTAGCGAGCCTTGCCATAAAAAACCAAAAGAGATAAATTCTAAAAAAATGCACTATTTTTAATGGGGGAAAAAAAGCATTTTAAAGATAAAATATAGCAGAAGCATCCGTAAAAGCTAAACTGCCTAGCTATCAATTTTTGCTTCTCCATAAATAAAAAATGTAGATTATTAAAAGATCAAGTTCTGCTGAAGTTTCACCCAAAACTAGGACCATGTAGCAGGTTGTCCCACCTGTGCCAATCTTCTCCACACAGTACTCCTCTGAAAAAATGCCCATAAACATGGCCATATTATGGAGGAGGCTAATTCATGCCACTGGACATAGACAGCTCTCTCTGTCTGCAGCAACTGTGGACAATCTCCCATTACCCCTTAAAATAAATTAATAGACTAGCGAGTCCAAAATCAAACAACAGTGTGCCAGACATGCACAGCTGTATGTGTGCCACTGCTGATCTGTCTGCCCAGCACAGCACATTCCAGGTGCTTTATTTAGGATGTAGCTGCAAGTGGGATCAGTTACGAAGAGCCTCATGTAATTAAGCAAGTTTATTTTTTGCTGATCCATTTTTTTCCACTCACTTTAGGTTCTCAGATTATTGTATTGATCTACCATAGTAGTGTAGTTGAAAGAAAGAAAGATTCTTGTGCAGAAGATGATTTTCACAAACTTATAACTGACTCTTTTTATTATGAAAAAGCATGACCAACAACAGACTTCAGAGGCTAAGACATATGGAATCTGCATTTGCCCATTGTAACTTACATATTCTTTTTCTGTACTAAACTTTATACGTTTTCACCAGTCTCTGTGAGTGTTTACAAAAAATGTCAGATTCCTACTTACTTTAATGCAATATGAGATGCAATTATCTTCATAATGTTTACAGCATCTATGTCTTGGACCATGTTTGCATCTGCAAAAGAAACAATGAAATCCATATTAACCAGAAGTTGGTTTTACTGTAATCTACTGGAGATTTTATAAACTTTCTCTTGCTAAAAATGTATACAATAGTCTCTTGCTATTTCCCCATTATTTATTTTGCATGTCACGTTTTGACACAGTCCTACATGACATTTTCGTAAGCAAACTAGGGAAATGCGGTCTAGACGAAATTACTATCAGGGGGTGCACAACATGTTAAAAGCTTGTACTCCTAGAGTACTCAATAGTTTGCTGTCAAACTGGGAGGGCCTATCCAATGGGGTCTCACAGGGGTCAGTCAGGGTCTGGTACTAGTTAATATTTTCATTAATGATTTGGATAATGGAGAGAAGAGTATGCTATACATTTGAAGATGACACCAAGCTGGAAGAGGTTGTAAGCACTTTGGAGGACAGGACTGGAATTCAAAACAACTTGACAAATTGGAAAATTGGTCTGAAATCAACAAGATGAAATTCAAACAAGACAAGTACAAAGTACTACACTTAGGAAGGAAAAAATCAAACACACAACTAAAAATTGGTGAATAACTGACTAGATAATAGTAATGCTGAAAAGGATCTGGGGGTTACAGTGTATCACAAACTGAATATGAATCTACAATCTGACGCAGTTATAAAAAGGACTAATATCAATGTGGAGTGTATTAACAGGACTACTGTATGTAAGACACAGGGGGTAAATTGTCCCACTTTTCCCGGCACTAATAAGGCCTCAGCTGGAGTATTGTGTTCAGTTCTGAGCACCACACTTTAGGAAAGATGATGTGGTCAAATTGGAGAGAGTCCAGAGAAGAGCAACAAAAATGATAAAAGGTTTAGAAAACCTGACCTATGAGGAAAGATTAAAAAACTGGGTATCTTTAGTCTTGAGAAAAGAAAACGGAGGGGGTACCTGATAACAGTCTTCACATATGTTAAGGACTGTTATAAAGAGAATAGGAATCAATTGTTCTTCACGTCCACTGAAGGCAACACAAGAAGTAATGGGCTTAATCTGTAGCAAGGGAGGTTTAGGTTACATATTAGGGAAAATATCCTAACTATATCGGAAGTTAAGCACTGGAAGAGGATTCCAGGGGAGGTTGTGGAATCCCCATCACTGGATGTTAAGAACAGGTTGGACAACACTGTCAGGGATGGTCGAGGTATAATTGGTCCTGCCTCTGCACAGGAGGCTGAATTAGATAACCTCTTGAAGTCCTGTCCAACCCTACATTGCTATGATTCAATTGTAAGGCACTATGTACTTTTATGAAGTCATCAAAGTACTGTACAAATAAAACAGTACTTTATTAGTATTTCAGAAGTACATGTACATGTATTTTGACCCAATCCTCTTTTCCATGCTAAGCTTGGGTAAACGGCCTATGCCTATGAATTCCCTACTGTGGCCTATGGGAAGGAATTGTGAATCATCCCTCCAAGACCATAGAGCTGTAGCTGGGCCATTCTGCAGCCTATGATCACTGACACTCTCTCCCACACCCACCCATATTAGACTGATGTTGCTGTTTTGGCCAGGGATCCACTGGCTATACTGCAATCCCTCCCTGTACCACCTTGTGGGCCTACTGGAGGGAACTGCAGAGGCCCCTCTCTCAACCATGATCATTCCAGTGCAGTGTAGTTCTGTCAGTTTCACTGTGGTATAGATTTTCTGTGGCCCTTACTTGGGATTAGGGTTTGGCTCAAAGCATAAAGAGGAGATGATTTTAGGGAGGATGGGATGTGTGGATTTTACAGTAATTAGACTTGTATGACACAGAATTAAAGGTTTCAGAGTAGCAGCCGTGTTAGTCTGTATTCGCAAAAAGAAAAGGAGTACTTGTGGCACCTTAGAGACTAACAAATTTATTTGAGGAAAGTCATTTCATACTAGCTCTAAAAATGATATTTTCTTGTAGTCAATTATTTGTGGTTTAATAGAAAATAAATCACATAATTTATATACTGTGTCAAATATCCTGGAAGCTTTGAATCATGTATTGTAAAGTATATTGGCCATAAATCATCCACAAGATTAGTTTATGTAGCAAAAATTGTAACGAGAACGTGATCAGGTTACAGACATTTAGAATCAATTATATCTGAAAGGAAACATATGGAAGAGAAACTTGAGAAAGTATTAGGATTAAAAATGCAATGGTTTTTGAATGTAGGGGAAGAGGGAGTTTGGAAATCCCAAAGGAAGTATACTCCTCATTTGTTAATCGTTTAGCCTTCTAACGTTGAACAAATACATTTTGGCTAGAGGGGCACTGATCATGCCTCACTATTTTCAATTAGTTCATGTCAAGGGTATTTAAAACAAAATAGGTATGAGGAACAAGAAAGGGATTGGCCTTCTAGCTATCCCTTAGCTCAATGCTGGAGGTAAGTGTTTCTTTCTATTTGAAGGGCTTTCACTCTGAAATAAGCACTCTTCACCACCCCTTTCACAACATGGAATACTTAGAACATCTTTTTTGTTCCTGACTGTCAGGAACATACTGTAATAAGGACCTAGTCCTAAAAAGGGGGCTGAACACCTTTCTCTCCCATAGAAGTAAATAGGAGCTGAGAGTGCTCAACCCTACTCTTATTTGTGAAGGAAGGAGGCTTCTGCTATGCTTGATTTACCATCACCAGAAGTATTACAATCGAGATTTAGCTAGTGCTTCACCTGTAGACTTATACTGCAGTAATGCTGGATTTGGGACACAGAAGGTCAACCGTATTACCAAATGAAGAAGGGACAGGTAGGTGATGGAGGCTTGCTGTCCCACTTCAAAACCTGTGTCTATGGGAGAAAACAAGGGGTTTAAGGCTCTCCCAATGATTTTTGCTGCAGATGAGAGGTCAGACTAGAAGCTGACCCAGAACTTTCCTGCCAAAGTGGGGGGTAGATGAAGGCTGTTACCTAGTTAGTGAATTGTATATCTTAAGTAATATGAGCTAATGCTAATAAATAGGTTTATCTTTGTTTTACTTTGTTTTTAATAATAGCTCACCGTTTTGTTATTGTTGTTAATCAATAAAAGAAATACAAATCAAAAATAGCATGAAACACTGTTGTTATATAAAATGGAATGAGCACGTGTGAAAGTGAGTAAAATAAAAAGGAATCAATTAGGGTTTGGGTTTGTTTTTTTTTTGTTTTTTTGGACTCACACTTTGTCCACAAGTTTCTTTGTTAGAGCTATTATGTTCATTCGCCGTGATACTTCTTCCCGGTGCTTTATTTTTCTGTCTATTTTTGAAAATGCTACTTCTGGTGAAAATGAATGTGTGGGAATTTCTTCTTTACCTACAATGAATCTGGAAGGAAAAGGAAAACACAAGGCAATTATATTTGTTACTTAAAAAGCAAATAAAAAACCGAAGTCTTTAAAAATGGATTCCACAGAGTAGTATTAATAATTTTCCGCACCTTACAACTCTTCTTTTGAGCACGGCCTGAGATCCCAACTTTAGGAGGCAGGCAAGTGTCATTATCCCCATATTACCAAAAGCAACACAGGATCAGAGAAGTTGTACAAGGAAATGTCTGGCAGAGCTAGGAATAAAACCCAAGTTTCTAATATGACAGACACAAGACTTAATCATGCACTGTCTACATGCCTCCTATGGTGTCTGTAAAATGGAGCCACTCCTGTATTCCCAAAAAGAAAAGGAGTACTTGTGGCACCTTAGAGACTAACCAATTTATTTGAGCATGAGCTTTCGTGAGCTACAGCTCACTTCATCAGATGTTTACCGTGGAAATCTGTATTCCCAGAGTACTTTGTAAATATAAACCACCATTAACAAACATACAGGACCCAGGACAAAACACAGTAGCAACAGATTTCTGCTTATTCCCAGTAGAATGCTGGGATTTAGGATTCCTGTCTCTGGAAGAGGAAATGTTTAACGCTCCTTCTCACACATACATCGCCTAGCCCCATGCATTAGCACTGTATTCATTTATTGTAAATCCCCTTTTGTAAAACAGTCACACATTTGAAAACTCTCCTTTCCTGCCAATTCTATATTATGGCCTCTTTGAAATATACAATATGTCTCAAAATACAGGAAAGGTTTATACCAGTACGGTTTTTGTTAAGGAGATTCTGGTGTCCTATAAAGCAGCTTCCAGTATACACGTTTCCCCAAAATGGTCACTTTGAGCTAAAACTACTGGGTTTGTTTTTTTAGATACTTACTTAAGCGCAGAGAATGTAAATCCTTTCAAACCATCTTTGCACCTGAAACACAAAAATTAGACTTTTGGTTTTGTGTGACAATCTGCATGCAACGAAAATAAAATCTCAGAGATGAAATATTGATGTAAAGCTGCCTAAGAACAACAAAAATTTGAGGATAACGATTTGATCATTGATAAATCCAATAAAGGAAAATAAGTATGCAACTAATTTATAGCCAACGGGGATAACACAGTTTTCAGCATGAAGTACACCATGGCCTCCTGGAATTTCCTGGGAGACTGTGAACAGAGAACACCCAGAACCTCCTGTGTCAAAACTTTTTGATCAAAACTGATAGGGATATGCAGATCTTTAAAGAAGGAAGATCTAAGTTTTACCCCTGCTGTGACCGTGAGACAAATATTGGCCATGGTCTACAGAAGTAACAATGTGAATTCTTATGTGGCCATGGATTTGTTAGTTTTACAAAAAACTGTCACAATGTGCTTGACAAAACATAAACCTACTGAAAGGGATGAGAAGTGTTCTGCACACTTTTTTTTTTTAAACACACTTGGAGTTTGAGAGCTAGTGTCTTCCTTCATATGGGAGCTGAATCCTGCACTCCTTATTCTGGAAAAAAACTTCCACTGTAAAAGTCACAGCATGTCAATTGTATGGCAGTTGCTCTGGTTCTGCAGCCCTTCTGCATGAGTGTATGGGACTACATTTCTGAATAAGGGTAGCAAGAAGGGGCCCTAGATTTGTAAATGCTAATGCTGATTGCGGTATAATATGTAAGCTTTCCTCTAATACTTTGACGTTTTAATTGGCAACTGGAGTTTCAGGAGTTTGATGTTTTCTGAAGTGGGTGTGTTGACTGCAATTGGAGCCTGCAGCTGCTACGGATTCTTCCTGGATGACTATCAGTGTATCAGTGTCCTGCTGCTAGAGAAGCAAAGAGCAGCACTTTTTACTCTAGACATTTGTATTTTTTTTTCTTTTTAGAGGGCTATAAATCAGAGGGGAATGGATCATGATGAAAGTGCACTACAGTCAGAATATATGACACATAAAAAAGCTGCTATTTTATTCCATTAGTTAAAGAATACATTGTATGCTAACAGAAGATAAAATCCTGCCATTAAGATAGCCAGTTGCCAAGGCTGGGAGAATAGCAGTGGTTGAGCAGAAGGTCCTTGTGCCATGCTGCCCACACAGGCCAAGATGCCTCAGGAAAGCTTGGGGCACCACCATCCCTAGGACATGTAACTGCTATTCCAAGAAAGGAGCAGGTGTAGAGCATTTAGTGCCTGCTGCTGATAGCAGTATGTGTATGGGAAAGTGGGGGAATGGAATGGGAAAGTGGCTTGGATTACTGACCAGGCTTGCCTGGGACTATGTATCACTGGATACATGTTATACAACCCCGCACAGACCATCATTCAGTTGCCCTTCTGCTCTTGGATGTGCTAATGAGGAGGAAAAGGCTCCCCGTGCTGTCTTTATCAGGCCCTGATCCTGCAATTGATGGCGTGTGGGTGACTGTGTGAAGCCCCACTGACTTCAGAGGGCTTCATACAGTCTGCTTGTAGGCTATCAACTAAAATTGGGGCCTTAGTTTCTAATTTTATTGTTACTCATGACAGTCTTCTTTGCTCAGAATACAAACAAATAAAATGTGCAATTTAAGTTTAAATACACAAGTAGTCATTTGGAGAGTTTTATACAAACAAAGAAGTAATTATAATGCAACCCTGAAAAGTCATTTTGCCTCAATCTTGCAGCTTCAGTTTGCAACAATTATTACATCATTACACCAGTAGATGTCCCTAATCAACTGTTATTCAAGCGGGGACAGATCTGACAGAATTCTTGACCAACATTGTTTCACTAGTAATTTTCTTTTAAATTTGCATCAAAGAAGACAATTAATAAATGAGGCACTGATCTTAAAACGCTACCAGACATCTAAGTTACTCAAATGCAAAACATGTAAAAGGTATCCATTACCCTAGGAAACATTAAGAACATTTCTGTACAACCTTTCATAATGCCTATCCCCATTAGCCATCTATGATAATTAATCCCCACCTAGTTATTAGTTTGTGTGAGAGTCGTTATCAGAGTTATGGTATCACTATTATTTACAATTGTATTAATGGTGAAACCTTCCAAACAAAATGCACCAGCCAGTTACATATATGGCTTAACGCAGGGGATCTCAACCTTTTACTTTCTGAGGCTCCCCAACATGCTATAAAAAGCTCTACGGCCCACCTGAGACACAACAACTGGTTTTCTGCAAACAAAAGCAAGGACTGGCATTAGGGGATAGCAAGCAGTGCAACTGCCTGGGGCCCCAGGCCACAGGGGCCCCCAGGAAGCTAAGTTGCTCAGGCTTCGACTTCAGTCCCAGGTGGAAGGGTTCAGGGCCCTGGGCTTCAGCCCCATGTGGTGGGACTTCAGCTTTCTGCCCTGGGCCCCAGAGAGTCTAACACTGGCTCTGCTCGGCGGACCCCCTGAAACTTGTTTGCGGCCCCCAGGGGGCCCCGGACTCCTGGTTGAGAACCACTGGCTAAGCATATAAGCAATATTACAAATATCATTCTATTTGGAGTTCTATTTACAGCTCAGGTTTATTTAGTTTAAGGTATAACATGATCCAATGGTTGGGAGTTGAAGCTAGACAAATTCCGATTGGAAATTAGACATAAATTTTTAACAGAGAGAGTAATTGCCATTGGAACAATTTACCAAAGGTTGTGGTGGATTCTCCAACACCGACAATTTTTAAATCAGGGTATTTTTCTAAAAGATATGTTCTAGGAATTATCTTGGTAAAGTTCTATGACTCGTGTTATACAAGAGATCGGACTAGATGATCACCATGTTCCCTTCTGACCTCGGAATCTATTAATCATTTCAATGTTGTAAACTTTAACAGTAATACAATCAGCACATGACATCGTTTCTCACAACTCTGAAAGTCACTGGGCCAGATTCTCAACCCCTGCAATTTGGTATCTTTTGGGCATCCTGAGCAGCATGAAGGGCACATACTCTGGCTGCAGCTGGCCAGTTGAGAATTTTCCCTCCAGAGGGGAATTCTCCACTGATGCAAAGCCAGATGAGCCAGCTCCTCTGCCAACTGTCTCTTTCTAGTATGGGTTAGGACAGAAGAGAGAGGGAATGGAGCAGAGCTCTAGGATACTCTAACTTACATCAGGGCTACAGTTGGGCAAGTGTTACAACTCTATAAACAGTCCAGGGGTCCTCGAACTTCTTGTGCCCAACAGATCTTGGCACAGGAGAGAATCTGGCCCATGTTATCCAAAATATCAGATGAAGAAAAATATTACTTGAGGCCACATGCACACATTTTCCCCTAAAGAAAGCTACTCTTGCCACAATCTAGAACAGCTCTCCTGTGTGGAAGCAAAATTCAGCCAGACTTTAACAATCAGGTCTTAAACCAACTCTAATTTTGTTGAGAGAGGCACGCTTAATCTCTAACCAGTGTGTAGGGAAGGGAAGAGGTCTCCTCACCAAGCTGTAGGGCTAAAACCCAGCTATTATGTTTTCAATTTTTTTATTGGCATTCCTTGCTAAAACTTTTATAAAGGCTCACTCTCTGTGATTGACTGACACGCTCTGCTCAAGAAGTCAGCTGGGAAAAGGAGTTTAATTACTGTCATTTCACCCACTGTACTTGTTGGGAGAATGTGACACGTGACACATTTACTGAAAAATCACAATATTTTCCACTGAATGAAGTGAGCTGTAGCTCACGAAAGCTTATGCTCAAATAAATTTGTTAGTCTCTAAGGTGCCACAAGTACTCCTTTTCTTTTTGCGAATATTACCTATGTTATCCTTCAAGGAAAAAGTAAATTAGAAAAATTCAACTTTCCCTACATTGAATTTCATTATGGCTGTGTGTTCTGGGAATTAAGCTCACTCTTCCACAAGAATAAGAAGTACCATGGCATAACAATTTACTGGTTGTGATAGAATATGCTTAAGAAGGATTAACATATAAAGTAGGTGTCACATACCAGTCCAAAGACTAAGCCTAGTAGCCAGGGGAGAAAATGCCCAAGTTGTCACACCATGAAGCCATGCCCCACAAACCACAGCCCCTGCAATTTCAAGGAGTAAAAGTTGTCCACTCTTCAGTGTGAACTATACTTCTTGTAATGCATTGTCAATCAGCTTCCTATTTTATACACTTTAAATACAGGTTACACTCTCTCTTGCTTCTGTTGTAACATTTTTCTTTTCCTTGCTTCTTTTCACTGTGTCCTATATAATGTGTCATTTTCCTGAGTTGCTTTCTGTGTCTGTCTCCTCTTTTCCTTCTCTCTCCCTCTACCCACCTGCAGCCTCTTTCTCTCCTTTTCCTGATACTATTATTTTAACCTCTTCCTCTATAATTTCTCTTTCCTTTCTTCTCCTATTTCTTTCTTGTCACTCCTAATACCACATTTTTTTTAACCTATCCTATCTATATCCCTTGCACCCACCATATCACAATGATTTTTTTGCCTATCAGAATCAAATGGATTGGGAGTGAAAGGGTGGATTTCTAATTAATAGCTCTGGAGAAAAATGGTTTCTATATGATCGATGAGACACTGGAGATCAAGTGGACGTAATGGCTGTCTGGGCCACCTCCATAATGATTTTGACCCAAAGAGGTGGGCAGGTAAACATGTATTATTAGCCCAAGTTTAGTTCTACTGCAAGCCATCTGAGAATTGCTTGTATATTTGACGGCTTTGAAACATGGAAGTGAGGTTCAGTAATGTTTAACTCTCCCATAAGAACTGAAAGAGATACATATTACTCAATGGGATCAAATGACATCTCAAAATCATTCATTCCAAGCCAATAATATTTTTACCATAACCCTGCTTGTACAAAATAAAATATCAGAGATGTATGGACAAAGGTATAGCCAACCTCTCTCTCTGGCCTCTCAATCAGGCCTGAGGAGATAAGGCTGAGGCCAAAGCAGACTTTAATAGCTCTTTCTGGTGTTTTTCACACTAGGTGAG